TATATATATGTGTGTAATGTGTACTTAGTTAATAAGTGAGCTTAATTTAATTATGTTTACATGCAAAGCGAGAGATTATTAAATAAAACCATGACAATTGTATTTTGCATATATATTTAATTAGAATATATATATTTGTTGCCTTATAACTGTTTTGTGCTATCTTTAATATTCTCTTTAAATAAAAAAAAGCATAAAAATCATATAACTATTTTTATAAGAGCATTTTATTTTACATTCTATCTAATGCTTTATTGTGTTGATTAAATCCTTATATTATTCATACATTGATATAGAAATATAAACTTTTATATTATATAAGATCTCCAATATGTTTTATCTTTTATTTAGCATTAATTTTGGTGATTTTCAGTTTTGTAATAAATAAATATTAAAACTTTAAAATAAATAAAGGTTTTTTAACAGTTATATTCTTATATCTTAATAATTATAATAAAAAATGGCAAATAATAGTACTCTCTAAATATGTATAACATTGACAGAATATATTAACTGCAAGCAGATATCTCTTACATACATGTTTTTCTTCTATGAAAGATCGCTAATGTCTTCTATGAAAGATAATTAATCCATTTTTTTTTTTTATAAATTAAACTTGTGCAAAAAAGTTTCCACCAAGAAATTTTAAGTGCGAAAACACCACATATACCTCATTAATCAATATTAATTCCGAACAGTTAAAAAAGCGTGAATCCCAAATTTTTCTCAATATGAATAAATTTGTATTCAATTTGGGGGATGTTAAACAATATCTTATATTAAATATTATCCCATCAAAAATAATATATATATATATTTGTCGAAAAAAATTAATATATCGACAAGATATATAACACGTAGATTAATTAATTAGAAAAAGAAAACAACTATATGTCTGTGTATATATACACCATGGAAGAAATTTCTTTTTTCATAATGCAACAAATAAAGACATTACCTGCACAGTGGTGCTTTGATCAGAAAATGGACTGCTGAAAAATGTGGATATAATACTCATTAGACAACTCGTCACGTAAGTTTCTAAGACTGTATCCGCATGTTGTCGATCGTGGGTAGATGTGGCAATTAAACCCATATCAACAATAAAAGATTTTTCAAATAAGGACCACATATGATTTGAGTTGTAAATTTCCTTCATCTCGACTTCTGTGTCAATATAACAATGATTGAGAAAATTGATATACGCCTCCTTCACCTAGTTATAAATGTTACAAAATATATCAATGTAATATTCTGTATCTATATTTTAATGAAATAGAGCTGTTTAAAATTCGATAGAAGCTTTACCTCCGGTATACAGTCTGGATGTGATACCACAGCAACAATGTCGTCTAGAGGCAAAAGACTGTGACATTTAATTTCAGTATTGACATTCTTGCCCATTGTGCAGCAAGCTAAAAGTTTTACTAATTCTACATGATACCTAAAATATAATATTTTCTGTGTATTCAACCTCAAAAATTCTTGTCAGACATTTAAATAATCAATGGAAAATAATATCATACGATATATATGATACATCTATCTCATGTTATAGGAACATGTCAAAAAAACTTACTGAAGTGGGCTACTCTCATCCATTCGATGTCTTTCAGATCGCATCATTTCCACAAAATGATTAAAGGAAGCTCTATCATTGTAAAAGATTAAGACATCTTCTCCCGCTTGAATTAACTAAAACAAAAATAAAAATAAGTAGAAGAACATTCCACAAAAGTTACATGTATATAGCACATCTCACCTCCTGCATCACCATCTCTTGACATTTTCGGATGAACTGATTCTCAGCTTTCACTATAGTTTGCAAAAATTTCAAATATTGCACATGTTTTCCATGCGTTTCTATGCAATGTACAAAATGCTGTATGACATTTGGATTGACTTCATTGCAGAGCATAGAATTATCTTGGAAGATGCTGCATACTGTTTGCGCTTCTCTTATGCCAGGATTCAAGAACAGATCCAATTGCTTATGCAAGAGAACCTGATTTTGTTGATTCGATAAGCAAAAGTTTTGCAAGAAATCATGCGCCAAACGCATTAACTCGTTCATTCTGATATCTTCCTTGGTGTCGAACGGAACTTGCAAAAGATCCAAAACGACGGTGTGTACCCCGACATTGCGTAGAAGTCTCTGTTCATGTTTGCGTGCCTTCACTTGACCGCCCGGCAGAGTTTGAATACACAGTTTATTCATTCTTATTAAAATCTGCTGAATCTTTTTGTATTCTTCAGCTTGATCGGCGTGTAACGGTGGACCAATATCCAAATCAATAGCAGAACCTTTAAAAGAGATAATTAATTGTATTTGTTTTATCTCGTTTAAAAAGTATTTATATAAAATGATAATTGAAATGTGTGTAATATATATAAACCTTGTTTATCCGATAGAGATAATAGAGGTGGTTTACGAGGGGTTATGCCTTCATCCTCCTCTTCTTTACTTTTTTTCTTCTTATTTCCGTGTTCCTCCGTCGCCTTGGATTTATATACCCAAAGCTCAGATTTTTCGACAGATTGGCGTAAAACATCCAAGTCTGCCTTTATTTGTTTGTAAGATTCTACGTCGCTATCCGAAACCAAGAGTTGCACCTATTAACCACAGGCATTAATATCTTTCTCTTTACAATATGTTTTAGGATACTAGAAAGGAGTCCTACCTGTTTAAATGCTTGTAAAACTTCTTGTCTTTGGCTAAAGTGCCTAAACAATAAATGTAAGGCTCCAGAAACTAATGGAGGATAATCGTGCATTGCTAGATGCAGCAGAACACGTAAAAATGTTCTGCCTCCTTGACCATCTAAATCTAGTGCTGCACATTCTTCACTAAAAAAATACGATTTCTCTAAAAAATAGCTTTCTCTCATATATCACATTCAAAAATATCTTACCTGCTTCCAAATATTCCTTCCGCATGTGCGCCGATTGCTTCTAAATCAATAGTCTTTTGTCCTAAAATCACATCTCCAGTCTTCTCGGAAGCAGATGCCGTCTCATCAAATTCCTGTTTAAATATGCTCAAGAGACAAGAGATTCTATAATCCAATCGAACATCCAGAATAAACTGCAATATCTCGATTATCTTAAGTTTTGTGTCCATCACCAAAGGATATTCCTTCTTCATTAGTGGCTTTGGTCTTGGAGAAGAACTGGGTAGCACTTGACCGGCTGGTCCTAATGTTAAATTTGTCATCACAGCACCCATGTCGCCAATACATCTAAGAATACCTCCTTCAGCTATTTAAACATACCATAAGAAACAAAACAATTCGTATTAAATCCATAAATAAATGAAAAAAAAATAATTCATCACATATATGATATTATGTATTTACGTATATCACATGGTTAAATTACAGTGTGCAGCAAGCAAATTTATTTTGTGTTAAAAAAGAGATACCATTTTGTATAAAGTAATATATAAAACAGCGTGATTCTCTGTTTATTTATGTCTTTATTTATTTATTTTGCTATTTATTATGAAAAAACAAAAAATTGACTTCAAAGTTGCTAGATAAAACAATGCTTATAAACATTCAATAACTAAGTATTAAATATTGCATATTATATATTAAACTTTGCTATTTTTATGCTCACATTTTTTAAAATAATTATTAATTTCTTAAAAGAAATTAAAAAGAATATTTAAGCAACTAAAAAAGCTTTATAGACCTACATCATACAATGCATAAAATTGCATGCTATATCTTCTTAATATCCACATTCCACATATCACACAGTTTAATTAGCTTTTAACAAGTTTTCTAATAGAATATTACCTGCCTCCTCAGGATCCACTGTATCAGCTGTGATGAAATATTTACAAGAGTAAATTTATTAGTTTCAAACATATTTATCTCTCACAATCTACATGTTATAAATAATTTAACATAATTGCATAAAGAAGCTATTTTATTTTCAAACAGATTTTCCTAAAGTACGGATTATATATAGTATCAATATGTTACAGTGTCATAAGAGATATTATATACAAGTTATAAATATAGAAATATTATATACAAGTTTCCGAAAGCAATGCTTAAAATCAGAATAAAAAATTGCTCATATAAAGAATGTTTGAAAATAAGAAGGAAAAATTCATTATATCAATAATACATCAATATATTATATAATAATGTAAGAAGGAGGTAAATCAAACTTTATTGCAATAATAGGCTACTACCATGCGCGCGAAATGTATATATATAGATGAATTGAAATGATTCCACTAGAAAATATTGCTCTTATGAAGTTCATTAAAACTTAATCAGTAAAAAGATAGAACATAACTTGTATATTATATGTTTTATAAAGTGAAATTAATAGAATCATTAAACTTACAATCAATATCGCCTGTAGGTATTTTTCCATCGGTAGATTCATTCTCTGATATACAATCCAAGATACTAAGCAACGTCTTTGTTAAACTTAATAAATCATTGAAACTATAGAATCCAAAGTAAATTAGATCACGTGCTAATTTAACAACCTGCAAACAATATATAAGAGTAATGCACATGAATATAATTTATTCTATATATCTAGAGATAAACAGTAAAACATATACATAAAAAGAAGAAAAAATTGCATACCTCAAATGTGAGCTTATTCTGTTCTTGATCTCCAAAAGACCACATTTTCGCAACAACATTACAGAGATAATCCTCAACAAACATGATTGTCGAACTAAATTTAGTACGAACAGCTTCTTTATTGTGATCCGGTATTTTATTCGCGTCATAACTAGAATTGCCAAAAAACAAACAATTTTAAGTATTTCTTTCATATACTCATCCTGTTTAATGCATTTTTTGTTGTTTACATACTCGTTTATGCTCATTTTTGACGGAATTTCAGACCAAAGACGAGCATATTTTACAGGAGTTACTTGTTCTTGCGGATCTCTATCTACATGAAGATGTAGCATAAGTCGGCAAAATGATGCGCGTAATTCGTATGGCACTGTTTCATCTTCCATACATCTATAAGAAGTGCATAAAGCAACTTACAAATAGTTCTCAATGTTAAGGATAAGCACAATACTTACTTAAGTATAAGATCTATGTCCAAATGTGGTGATAGATTATTTAGTGCTAGATATTGCCTATTCAAACACATATTACTAAAGAGATTTAATTGATGTCTGTAATAATCTAGTATTGCAGCATCTTGAACATTTCCCATTTTCGCTCCTCTAGATAGTTCACTCAAAGACATTGATTTCTGCATTAAATGTCACATTAATTTACATAATACATATTATATTTCAATAAACTATTATTAAGTATACTAACGGTTCCATTATCCCATTCCAATACAACTTCAAATTCTTCTATAACAGTAATTCTTGGTTCGGCATTTTCTTGCTTCTCGTCAATATCTTCAACTTCTACCTGAGTCTTCACCATTCTAAAATAAATTAATATGTATTAAAAAGATTGACATCGTTAGCGCTGCTTATCATACTTACTTTGTTTCTAGTAAAATATCCTTATTCTTTTCGCTAAGCACGCTTTTGCAAATTAATTCTTGTGTTACAGCTATTGCTTTTTTATTAGATATACATAAATCCGACAAATAATCGAGAAATCTCGATTCCCAGTTACGCATATTTTTTCTAACAAGACCCACAAATGTTTCTATTTCAGCAGCTGTTATATGTTTCTCTAGTAATTTTCTATTATTGTGCAAAAGCGCGGTGATGGTATCTTCCGCCAGTATATCATAGCCGATTTGTTTTTGCATAAACGCAAAATGTTTAGCAATGTATTCCTATACATGTGTGAAACAACAATGTAATATTTTGACAAAATAATTATAAATATAATATATAAAATTTATATTATATCGCATAATATCGCGGTACCTGATTCTTTCTGTAATCTTGCTGAGAGAGCCTGAGTATTCGGTAGCACAGACGAAACATATACTTGTATGGCGCGTGTCTCGGATCGTTAAGCTCATCTATCCTAAGAAACGGTCCTTCACCCTCTGCAGATTCCAAAAATGGAGCCTGTAATTAAGCCTGTATTTTGAGACATCCTTCGCGAAAGATATTTGTGCGCGATCAACACGTCGAGAATACCTGCAATATTTTGAACAGCTGTCCAAGGATGTACTGCTCGCGCAATAATTTCTGACGGTCCCTCACAGCATTCGTAACAATTAATTCCAATGCCTCAGATTTATTCTGTTCGTTCTCTAAACCAGCTATAAAGTATACAATGTCTTGCAGCAAGCTAATAACAGCTCTTCGTTCGTTATGCGAAATTGTTCCCTTTTCCAGTTTGCTGCTCATAGCCGTCAATACCTTGCAGGCGTCGTTTGCGAAATCTAAATCGCGCACTTCGACCGGCGACACGGATCTCAAAGCGAAGGCCTCCTTATCCTCTTTGCTGATCGCACAACCGACCTTTAAGAAATAATTAAATATGCCCGAGAGAATAAAATAAATTTATTTCCTGAATCCATAAATCTCATTCATAATTTTTTTGACGCATGAATTATAATCGTTAGAATACGCTACAATACCTTCGACATCACAGGCTTCTCGTCATCCTTATCAATCGGTACGCTTGTTGAATGAACCCAAGTATTTGTGCATATATGATGTAATCTAACAAAGGACGATTGCGGAACTAGACTATCTCCTCGAGTTAAAGTTGTAGGATCCAATTCGAATAATGAGCTAATCTCGTTGCTATGCGGCACCGACACTAATCTATACACTGGTCCAGGTGGATCTATATTAAAACATCGATATAAATAATCGATTTGCCATTATTTCATTAATCACAAACGCTAGGCGCATTTTTAGAAAAATACGTCATAATCAATTATAATTAATCATTAAAATATTTGGATACCATACCGCGCTTCCCTTTTACTGGTTCTCGTGGCTCATCCGTATCAATCTCAGCGGCAAGATACTGACCAGTCGCTAGATGTTTAAATCTAAAAAGTGAATTCCAATGCCCGGCGCCTCCTCTGCACGGATCATGTTGTACCACCTAAATATCAACAAATAAACAAAGAAAATTACTTACATAAGATATGCCAAAAAATATGCAAAAGAATAACGTTTTCACGCAAAAAAAATTATATATATATATATATGTACACGCGTAATAATGTTATATATGTATAAATAAACTTCAATAATTATATAAAAAATAAGATAGCTCACCTCGACTTCCCACAAAGCCTTGCTGCTGGTAGCCGCAGTAGCGCTGGTCCTGCCCGTTGTCCGCAAAAACACGTGGTGCTTCTTCTTATACTCGTCCATTGTCAGAAATTTTTCTTGCTCGGCGTGAAACAGTCGCACGACATCGCCACCCTTGAGGATCTCCTCCTGATTCTCTCGGTGTTCCATAAAGAGGGTCACTTTCCAGGAGGTGGACAAATTCACGACGTTGACCTCCTTGCAGCCTGGATTGTCGCTCAATTCGTAATTGGCGGCCACGTGAAGACCCTGGCGACCCGCGTTCACCGGCTCCAAGATCACTTTATCGCCGACGACGACGCTATCGCCGTCGCTTCGCAGCTTATAAAATGGCATTATGTAAAGCCACGAGCCCTCGTTTCCGTTCGCATCCAAATAAACTCTCATTGCGTTCTTTTCCAGCAACGCCGGCAGCCTCTTGTTCACCGTCAGGAATTTGTTGGATTTGAGATGCAGTAACTGCATAAAAAAATCGATGATAATCAACTACGTGACAAGTGTATGAGTGTGTGTGGGTATAATGTAAATTTATAAATTTACGCCATGTCAATAACAATGTTGTTTAATTATTTCTACGTTAATTATTTATTTATATATTTATATCGTATAACATGCGCGATGTATGTAACTCGAATAAAGTTATATTATTACAATATAATTATTCTGCAAGTTAAACATCTATAAACATTCTAATCACATACGGAATATATGATATATAAATTGAGATATATATATATAATAAATATGATTAGTTAGTAAAAAATGATACATCGACAAAGTACGTGAAAGATACATCGCGCTAATTCAATAAAATTCATACATTACAGTAGATAAATTGAACATTTAATGACATTCATTGTCTTTGCTATGATGGAGGATATAATCTATAATATATATGTATATAATACGTAGAATACAATGTTCAATGTACACAATGACGTCGTCTCATTTATTAAAGATTACAAAGTGCTACAATTTTTTAATTTTTTTGCAACAATGCTACACTACGAACAGGAAATTGAATTGTTTGTGAGAAACGTAGCGCTTATAACGCTGGCTTATATTTTTCGACATGGCAACGATAACGCGGAGGAAGGAAAACTTGTTAATTGGCAAACACTTATCGCATGCTCTATACAAGGCAGATAACTATGCCAATACGGATGGGTGTACCAGACAGTTTTTATGACCGCTTTGCGAAAAAAGAATGCGTTAAGGGGAAAACTGCTCCCCTAGCAATATTGATAAATCTATTATTATTCATATACCCTTTTTACATTATAAGAATACGCGATCAAGCATAAGATGTTCAAGATATACTTCAGTAAAATAATGTTACTTGGAAGAGATCTTTTAAAGGAAGAAGAATTATTTCTTTCTTACCTGTATGACGTTACCGTACGAAACCACGGTGCCCAATAATTTCTTGTTTTCAGTCTCATTTTGTTTTTTCTCGATTTCAGCCGCATGCTAAGTTCGAAATAAATTAATTATATAATTATATAAACTAATTTATATGTGTAATATATCCACGAAATATATGTAAAATATTGCATCAATTTTAATTTTTTGAGAACAACACACGCATTCTCTCTCTCTCTATTTTGCATCTATTTTTTCACACATGTTATGTACTAACACAGCCTTATGTAAAAAATTTGAAAGGGCCTTATGTAAAAAATTTGAAAGGGTGCAAAAATGGCAATACAAATATTTTAAAGTCAAATTGGTAAAGCCCATCTCGGAATGTAGGGAGGTCCAAGTTCGAACCTTGACTGGGGTGATACTTTTCGCTATAAATTCTTTACAGTGTTTTAAAATTGCACGTGATTATATATTCCAATTATTCTCTCTCTCTCTCTCTCACGTTCATTTTCATTAACCGGAAATAATAAAGCGCTTCGTAAATAATGAGGTTTGATTAAATAATCAATTTGCGTCATAATATGGCACGTGATTATATATTCCAATTAAATTAATATTAATATATCAAATACCATTAAATAATATTATATTTTATTATATTTTACATGCCGTAAAAGAAATATTTTTTTGTTACTACGGGACGCATTTTTTTCTTTTGCCTCGGGCGCCGAAATGTCTAATCCCGGCTCTGTGTACTAACATAAAGTTTTAACAATTTTGGTTGAACGTAAGATTAACATATTTAAATTGATTAAATGGTGTATTATTCTTGTAACTCACATGAAGCCTTTTGAGTAATACAGCGTCTGTACCCGAACTCGCGCTTTGTTTCGCTGCCTTCCAAAATTGCTTTTGGGCGGAATACCGGTTCATGGGACATATTTTGAAGAGACAATCTAAAAATCAATAATTGCTATCATTCGACAACATTTTAACATTTCAACTTTAACATTTCTATTTAATTTAATATCGCCCATTTTAATTGTTCGCGATAGCAATATTTTAAAAAATTAAGAAATATCGATATAAAAATTGTCATGAAATTCATTTACATATTTATTGCACAGTAAGAGTCAATAAGGAGCATAAATTATCTCAAAAGATATAAATTACCTCTGAATTTCTTCGGTGGGTTTGATAAATCTCCAGCTTCGGGACATACTACACACCTGTCGTCGACCAATCTGAAAATAATACACATTTTCGAGCTAACAAATATGCGAAAATAACATATAAAACAACGAATATCATATATTATTATATTATTAAAGTTTACAGTTTAAATATAAATATCACTTATTTACGATATATAAATACATGTTTCTCACAAAAGCTAAGTAATTATTATCACATTCTATTACTGTATATATTATAAAAAAGAATGTTCTTTGACTATTTATTACATATTATCTTCGCTCCTTTCATTTTCTTTTTGCAATGACTAGTCTAGTCATATCGTTTAGCGTTTAGCGCATTATACGTGTCAAGTAACATTGATAATACACAAAGTTTCGGAGTGATACAGATACAATAGCCGCACCTCCGGCTTTCTAACTATGCAATGTCGACACTGCGGTCGAACCATCATTAAATAAGCGTGGTCCAGGAGGAGAGAAACGACCCACGATATGGGTCGATATTGAAGCAAGTCCCTGTCTTGTCCTGATAGCTTTAACGGATTGCGTAAAAGGGAAGAGCTTTCATCTTATAAGTAATTACCATAAGAATTGCTTAAAAACGTTACCTTACTACTACGAAATATCATGTGAAATGATATATATCTGATAAAATGAGATATATTTTAATTACTATATTTTTTATTAAATTCTGTGCTTTTATATATCATAATCTTATCAATTTTATTACATGATATATGAAAAATATATACGCGTTACGATGTTAAGTTTATTTTTTATGTTATGCCATATTATATATCACGATTTTCTGTAGCGTTGAATTTTATAAAGAGAAAAAACTACAATAGAAATGTCAAAGTAGGATGTGGTTTCATCTTGCAGTAAACAAAAGGCACGATCACAACTCGGCAGACACCAAGCAAGCTATTGATCCAGATATTTCGTATTAATGGAGCACGTAAAGATAATCCCATGTCTCTTGCATGATATAATTATGTCTTACCGGACCGAATAATTAGAAACTTCGTCGAATGAAACTTGTCTTAAATTTTGCTGTTACACAAAACCGTTACACATTGTGACATTACCAAGAAATTACAACATAGAAAGCATAGCTTGTAGTTACCGACACTGCGGTCGAACCATCATTAAATAAGCGTGGTCCAGGAGGAGAGAAACGACCCACGATATGGGTCGATATTGAAGCAAGTCCCTGTCTTGTCCTGATAGCTTTAACGGATTGCGTAAAAGGGAAGAGCTTTCATCTTATAAGTAATTACCATAAGAATTGCTTAAAAACGTTACCTTACTACTACGAAATATCATGTGAAATGATATATATCTGATAAAATGAGATATATTTTAATTACTATATTTTTTATTAAATTCTGTGCTTTTATATATCATAATCTTATCAATTTTATTACATGATATATGAAAAATATATACGCGTTACGATGTTAAGTTTATTTTTTATGTTATGCCATATTATATATCACGATTTTCTGTAGCGTTGAATTTTATAAAGAGAAAAAACTACAATAGAAATGTCAAAGTAGGATGTGGTTTCATCTTGCAGTAAACAAAAGGCACGATCACAACTCGGCAGACACCAAGCAAGCTATTGATCCAGATATTTCGTATTAATGGAGCACGTAAAGATAATCCCATGTCTCTTGCATGATATAATTATGTCTTACCGGACCGAATAATTAGAAACTTCGTCGAATGAAACTTGTCTTAAATTTTGCTGTTATCACGAAACCGTTACACATTGTGACATTACCAAGAAATTACAACATAGAAAGCATAGCTTGTAGTTACCACGTGTTCGGATTGCGGTTCAATCTCGAGTGCAAATCGAGATATCGTCGCTCGCTTATCTGGGCTCACACACAAGCCAATAATTAAGATAACGGCGCAAATTAAACATCACGCACACACCGATTAATATTTTATTAATTAAATACGTATTATGCGTAATATGTAGGTCATATCTCTCAAAAGTGTGCTTCCAGAATGTTAATCGTAGATCTTATCATGCAATTTAGATTACCATTAGATTAATCATTTATTTACGTTGCTCACATTAATTTTATAGATTATTGTCAAACTGTATTTTTCCATGTCGCTATCTGCCACTAACATAGGAATATTATTTGTTAACCACCATTATGCATATATGAATATAAGCTCTCCGGCTAACAAGATTCCGATTAGGCTTCTCTTCGCAAAGATAAGCTCTCTATATATTATAGACGAGGGGAGAATGTTATTCACGACTCACACCTTATTTAAATCTACAATCCACACAAGAATGCATTAAAGACCATTCTTCTTTATGTATTAATAAGATAAACAGATATAAAACTTTAAGAAATATAATAGAAATATCTTTTATAAACAAAATTTGTGTGTGTGTATCAACGTTATGTAAATTTTTTTAAAGAACAGCAAATAATTTCATATCGCAGTATCGTTCTTATTTTAGGAAAGCATCAATGTAATACAAATTGCATTACGTGCTTTCATGTCGCGCCTCTTTATGTAGTAAATTAATAATAAATCTAATATCGCGAGTACAGAGAGAAAGAGAACGAAATTCACTTGCAGTAAAATTTCAAAAATTATTTCACAATTTTCTTAAATTTGTTCAATACAACGGGAATAATTATGCAGATGCATGTTTCGAGGCTTCTCCAATTAATCGAGGAGCGATGTACAACCAACATTTTATCGACCCTTTCACGATCCCTGAATGTATTGAATGTCGCGGTGATAGAATACCGCGTACAATTCCTGGTAGCAAGACTGTCAAAACAATAGATCAATTGGTCTGACATCAACGATAAACTTCCAGAATATTCGTACCATCGAACGAAGAATTTCCATCCGATGTGCAAACACAAATAGAGGACTCGTGTGTACGATCGTGCGTTATTGCGGCCGCAAACACGCGTGTAGTTGGCGTGATTAACGGCAGCGCTTTGCACCGCCGTGATTAACGACGTTTTGCGTTTCTGGAGCCGCCGCGAATAAGAGAACATGAATTTGCTTCGCTTTACGTATTAAGTCAAATAACGCAAGAAATATTTAATGCTCTCGCCTTTTAATTTTTTGCGAGTAAAATTATATAATGTATTCTCTCCGTCTCGCGAGAAAAAAAAAGCTTCGAAACTGAATCACAGTAACGGAAAAACTATCGCGTTCTTATACCATCTAATTTTTCTAGCTAATGGATCTTTTGAAATAAACTTCAAAGAAAAATATAGATCACAGTTTAATAATAAGTATATGCATTATTGTTGCATTTGCACGCAACATAAAGGTATAAGTTCGAACAGCGTATTTTTTCTTACCTCTTTGTCATCTTCAGAAATCTATTTTCGCCCGCGGAATATTACTAATATTAATATATTGTATGGAAATAACCATTGGCCTTGAAATATCGCAGTGTAATTCAAACAATGTCTATACACAAACAATAATGTTAAATTGTAAGATATGTCGTAGTTACTTTAAATGGAAGAATAATATTTAGCGTAGCATGAGAAGCGGAAAATAGTTATGAGATATTGAAAATGGTTAATTTCATCAGACGGAACATCGTTGAAAACGATATAACTCAGAATATTATTTAGATCGGAAG